AAGCACTATCCGAAAGAGTCTCTCTCTCTCTCTCTCTCTCTCTATATATATATATATATATATATATATATATATATATATATATATATATATATATATATATATATATATATATATATATATATATGAGAATGAATCAGCGCGCGACACGTGTCTTCGGTGCATGTAAAATGTGTTATATGTGCAAGTAGTTGGTGCACCTATCCAAGTAAAAAGTGCAGGTAAAATCACTTACAAGTGCACCTACTTTCACCTATAAGTGCATGTCATTTTGCCTTGTTAACATTCACTTATTTGAGTTCATTCTTGCAGAGGAGTTCACCGCGTAGTTAGTACCAGTGAAAATCACCCGCAAACATTCATGCACCTAGGTGCTACTTATAACTATAGGTGCACTTAGTATTGATGCTCAGTGTACATTTTACTTGCACCTATAATACATTTTACATGCACTTGTAATACATTTTGATGCTTGCACTTCGATGTTCAATTATTTACGAAAATGCCAACGTGATTTTTTTTAATCCATTAAATCTAGACACGTGTCGCGCACTAATTCGTTCGCATATTCTTTCTTCGGCACTTCATTCGCACCCGAGTGCAACTATATATATATATATATATATATATATATATATATATATATATATATAACGAATCTTGTAAGACACGGAACATTAAAAAAATATACTCCGTATATGAAATTAATAAAAGAGATTTTCATATATCAATTAATCTATACAACTTTTGCAGATTAAGAATTTCCCCAGAAATTACCTTTTTCATACTTCCCTTAGCTTCAATTCCACTCCTCTATATATATAGCTCCGGCCTTGCAGCCTTCTGATCTTCATCAGAAACTTAACAAAGTAAACCACTCAACAGTACATTTCTTGAAAATTTCTGCAGAAATGGCCCCTGCAAATTTCTACAGCAAGAAGGAGCTCGCAAAGATTGGGGTCGAGGGCTTTGCCATCCTTGATGAACATAATTATGGCAGAGGGCGAAACGGTAGAAGGCAGTTCCCTAATTACGGCGGCCATGCTACCTACATCGTAGCTTCCCGTCCACTTCCTCCGCCAGCGGCGGCGGCCGCCGCTCCCTTTGTTTCTGGTAATCGTTATTCCACCGCTAGTAGCAGTGGCGGCTACTCGCGGAGGCATCAGTACCAGAGTTACAACTATTATAATCGTTATTCACCCGCTGAATCTCACGTCGGGTGGGCTCCGGCGGCTGACATGACGGCGGAGACGGCTACGGTGGTCCGTGGTGGTTATGAAGCCGGTGACACCCAGGTCCTAATGAATAACTACAAGTACTAATGGTGTGAAAAGTTGGACTACACATCTATGTTTATATATATTATAGCTCAACGGAAATATTAGAATAAATATTGTATACTTAGTAATATATATATATATATATATATATATATATATATATATATATATATATATATGGCCATATGGGTGTGTGTATGTATGTATTATGCAATGGTTGCAGGTTTCTTGTGGTTTGGTCTCGAATATAATTGCCAGCCCAAGTTTGTAACAGTGATATAAACTTAATATTTATGAATATTTTAGTAGTTATTATTATGAGTACTTATATCAAGTTAATTTGACGAACAATTTTCTTTGTATAATTGAATTACAGCAATTTTTTTTTTTAAACAAATATATAGGATGTGTCTCAGAATCATATTGTACTTTAATTTGAACATATGCTCAATGTAAGTCATTAGTCATATAATATTCAAATAAATAAATGTACAGTTGAATTATTAATTTAAGTACCAGCCAAACCATCCAATAAACTAACACATTTGCTAATCTAAAATCTAAAATAATATAATGGTACTTTGGGATGAAACATTGTTTAATTTGCATCATTTAAACTTAAACAGGAGTACAGTAGCCTCGTTCAAGCAACAAATGATAAATGTTATAACTATCAGTATCATGTTTGGTACGATAAATGTTATAATTACCAGAGATCGAGTTTGTGGTCAATAGAAATATAATTTATTATAATATGAGAAAGTAAATTAGGTAACACTAAAAATATTAATTGTTTTGATACATTGATTTTGAGAAATTATTTTTCTGATAATTATATTAGTAGACGATGCATTATTAATTATGGATTAAGAAGAAAGGTGAGATAATGATTACCGGCCGGGCGGCCGGGCAACATGCAAGTAGTTAGTGGTCTGGGAATTTGCTTTATTATATTCCTCCGTGGCCGGCAGGCTTCCCACTCGGAAACGTACGTAAATTGCAGCTTCTCGATCGCTCATTTAATTTGTCTCACATATATATCTTTATGACTTTTAGGTTTGTTAGTTAATTCGTTTCATTTATTCCCATACTTAAAAGATGCTACAACTCTACTCAATTGGCACCTCAGACTGTAAATCATGGTAACTTAGCTGAACACAGAGGTTAGACATACAAAAAACCCCGTCAATCATTTTGAAAGGTTATTCCCACACTGCTACTGGTGAGACTCGATTTCGGATCATTGTTCCCAAATTTTACCTCTGTGACCGACTGAGCTCCCATGCCGGCATAATGTTGGTTAGTTATTGTTGTAGTTATTGGATGTTATTAATTAATCATTGAAAGAATAGAGAAGGAAGTAATGATGAAAGATTTATAAGAATCTTAGAAATTAATTAATACAATTGCATGCATTATTGTACCGAAAGCAGAACAGATTCTTAGAGACTACTGATAAATTATACATGGAAACTAACAGATTTTCATATTCGGATCTGAAACGAATCTTGATTATACTGTAAAACACGGAAGAGAATTAAAAATATATGAAATTAAAGAGATTTTCATATCCTTTCAAAAAAAGAAGAGATTTTCATATATATCAATCTGTATAACTTTTGCAGATTAAGAATTTCCATGGAATTTACTTATTTCACACTTCCCTTACCTCCCACTCCTCTGTATATATACCTCATACCTCTCAGCTAGGCTTCTTCATCAGAAACGAACTCAACATTCATTGAATATATACATTATTTCTTGAAAATTTCTGCAGAAATTAATGGCGCCTGCTAATTACTACAGCAAGAAGGAGCTTACAAAGATTGGGCTCGACGGCTTTGCTCTCATTGACGAATTTTATGGCCGGGGACGAAAGGGTAGAAAGCAGCAGCCTAATTACGGCGGCCGTGATTCCTACATGGTAACTTCTCGTCCACTTCCTCCGCCGCCGCCGGCGGCTGCGGCGGCGGCGGTCACACCCTTTGTTGCTGGTAATCACTATTCCACCGCTAATAGCAGTGGCTACTCGAGAAGACATCAGTACCAGGGTTATAATTATTATCACAATTCGCCTTCTGAATCTCACGTCGGTTGGGCTCCGGTGGTGGCCGTGACGGCGGAGACGGTGGTCCGTGGTGGCTATGAAGCGGGTGACGCCGACATCTTTATGGATAGCTACAAGTACTAATGTAATGAAAATGTAGTATATATATGTATACCAAGGAACATATATATGTACTATGGATGTATGGTGTGCTTAATGATTGGTTGCAGGTTTCTTGTGGTCTGGTCTCGAATAGGATTGCCAGCCCAGGCTTGTAACAATCATATACTACTTAATTTTGATTAATAGTTCTATCTGCAGTTATTATTGTGAATTGTGATCGAATATATATATGTAATATATCAAGCTTGAATAACGTTTCTCTTATTATTTTGAGTTGTTTGAATGAAAACTACTGTTATTTACCAGAATTGAAATCCAGACATATACTATTTATATGCAATTCAATAAGTTTGACTTCAATTCAGCGCGGGCATCTTAGCTTAATTATTGATCTTCGTTTGAGCTGGTCAGTTATGAAAATTTAAGTTAATTTGTATCCTTATAGTCTTTTACATGCACAAGGTTGAGTTTATCATATCATTCCAAAAATGTTGAAAAAAATCCTAGGTTCATTCAATTAAGGTAAGAAATTATGAGTAGACAAAAAAAAATTATTATAATTATTTTATTAACTAATTTTTACCATAAAATTGTTTCCAGTTAGTTTCTTTAGTACTATTAACTCTATTATAGCCGAGCTTGATCCTATGACTCTATTATAGCGGGGCTGGATCCGATGATGGCAATTTATAACGTGGACTCTGGTTCAATACACAAAATTTGATGACATAATACACATAAACACGATATAATTAACATGAATTCTGTGTATTATGTTAAATTTTTATGTGTCCTCAACTATATATACACATAATTCATGTTTATAACGCACATAATTCATGTTTATGTGTATATGCATTATGAATATGAATTTTGTGTATTGGATCAAAGTCCATAGTGCATTGTGAACTCTGGTCCACTATATAACGATTGATCCTGTGACCTTTCAAAAAGAGAGAGAAGTCAATTTAGCACAAGTTACTCGGCATAAATTTGGCCGGAAAATTTAATTGGTAATAAAGTAACAAACAACTTTGTGTTGATGAAAGATTGAAGTGAACCAAATAAGTTGGCATCGATCATTGATCAACCAGGCAAAAGATGTATGGAGTGATACGTTTTAATTTGCAAATAACAGGGAAGCTTCAATTCATTTGTGATAATTATATTAAAGGTGAGATGATGATAATTACCCGCCGGCCAGCATGGAATTTGCTTTATTTTATATTCCTTCCGTCCTCCGTGGACCGTTGACGGCTTGACTTGACCTGCGCTGGCCGGCGGGCATCCTACTCGGAAACTACATACTATACGCATATATTCTTCTGTAAAATGTTTCCGTTATGATCAATCGGAAAGGAATCATTTCAAACACCCACACATCAGAAGATTAGAAATATATGAAATAAATAAAAGAGATTTTAAGAATTTTCACTGAATTTACCTATTTCACACTTCTAGCTCGCTCTTAGCTTCCACTACTATACCACTCCCCTATATATACACCTCATTCCTCAGACCCTTCTTCATCACCAACAAACAACTCCATATTCATTATATATACACATTTCTTGAAGTATTAAATCTTCCCCAAAAAAATTCTGCAGATCAGAAATGGCGGCTTACTACACCAAGAAGGAGCTTACAAACATTGGGCTCGACGGCTTTGCTCTCATTGATGAATTTTATGGCAGAGCTGGAGGACGAAAGGGCGGTAGAAAGCAGCTGCCGCCTAATTACGGCGGCGCCCATGCTCGTTCACTTCCTCCGCCGTCGCCGGCGGCCGCCGCCACTCCTGTTGTTGCTCGTAATAATCATTATTCCACTGCTAGTAGCGGTGGCTACTCGCGAAGGGTTCAGTACCAGGGTTATAATTACCGTTATTCGCCCTCTGAATCTCACGTCGGTTGGGCTCCGGTGGTTGCCGTGACGGCGGAGACGACTACGGTGATCCGCGGTGGTTATGAAGCGAGTGACGCCGAGATCATTATGGATAAATACAAGTACTAACGTAAATCTTCTAGGTTCATTCTCACCGGAATAACTACTGTATACTTATATATGTACTATGTATGTAGCGGTGCATGCATGTATGCAGGTCTCTTGTGGTCTGGTGTCCTATATTATTGCCAGCCCAGGCTTGTAACAATCCTATGCTTTTCTGGATAAATTATTATTATAAATATATAAATTAAAGTTTGAAGAACCACCATTCTCCTTATGTTTTGAGTTATTATATATTATTGTTAGATGTTGGACTCACCTCTTTGAACCACTAATCGCCAGCCTCAACTACTACCCAACATGCTTTCAATACAATGAAGACATGCTTTGATACCATCACTAAGCCAAAAGTTATAGTGAATAATGAAGGCCCAATTTTTATTTATTTATTTATTTATTTTTATACTTGGATAGTAGTAAGTATCACGTTTCGATGACAGGATGTTGGCTCGACTTTTCGAGCTGCCACCCAACTGTTGCTTCAAATTGTTATCATATAAGATCATATTTTTTTTTACAATATGCATTGAATATTCATTTTTAATTTATACATATCCAAATTTTAATACAAATTGATACAATTTTATAGTCAATCAAAGCATGTTGAGATCGGGGCAACCCAGCCAAATTGTTCAGACAGTTAATGTGCTAATTATATGTTATAATTTTGATTGCCAGCGAGTTAGTTAGGATCACAAAATAAGTTTTACCCAGAGCATACATTTTTGTAGTAGTTGTAAATTTTCTTGTAAATAAAATATACGTAGAAGGCCAAGCACCTTGTGCTCAGATGACATATAGTGACCCTCTCATATGGTAGGTCATGAGATCGAGTCTCAAGTAGAGGTTGAGAAAATATGTATGAACAAACATTACAATAGCTTTCAAAAAAAAAAAAAAAAAAAAAAAAAAAAAAACACAAAAAAGAAAACACGAAGAAATAAAAAAACCACAATTTTGTCTTCTGATCAACTTGCTAAGCAACCGTCCAAACGGACATTTAGCATCTATAAATGTTGTTTTATGTTATCCGATCCCATATAATAAGAAGCTTTAGAATATGAACATATATGACAGCATCTTCTCTCCGATCTTAGGTTCCCTAATATGTAGTATTAATTAGGATAAAATCATTCCGTTATTAAAGTATGGATAAGTACTTAGGATCACAGTCATACGTGGATTATGTGACTCATATTCATTTATACATAACAACTACGATCTATTTAGGGTGATACCATACAGAGACCCAACTTTTCTCGCCTCGGCAAAACGTTAGATCGGGGACTAGGTTGGACAAATGGACATGTGGGCTAATGAGGGAATAACAACATAATTTTTTCTTTTAAAAAATTAATATTAAAATAAAGTGGTTCACTTTTAATATAATTATATTAATGGCACTTCGATCTTCATTTAATTATTAATTATTCTCCGTTAATTAATTTAAGAATTATACCTTACACTTTATGGTTTAAAAACTTAAAAACTTAAAAACAAAGGTGAGATGATAATAATTAATGGGTTCAATTTGCATTTTGCAGCAGCATGGAAGTAGTGGTGTGGGAATGTAGGTAGGTATGGTAATACATATACCATCTTTTCTCTAACTATTCGGAAACTTACCATCTTTTCTCTCTTATATCTTGTCCATAAAAAATAAAATTTATTAATCCCTACTACTCGTATCTCAGTTGAATAAGATAATGAATGAATAAATTATGTACGATAACTCAATCTGCTCATTTGATAATCCAAATGGATAGCTTAAGTGAAAAAATAAGCTTCTTTGTGGAGACGATTTTAGGAATAACCAAGGTTTGATTCTCACAAGTAATAATTTTCCTTGGGTCAGCTCACATGCCTCCCGAAATAAATGAGAATTAATCGGGTGTGGACTCGGACCTCTCCTATCTTTATGACTTTTAGGATTGTTAGTTCCTAGCTTGATTCCAAGACTTATGTTTTAATGCTGCAGATATGTATGTGTTACTTAAGATGGTGCACCTCAGGATTACATCAATGGATTTGTCGTCATCATTCTGACACCTGCCTTAAGATGCTCTCTCGTTGCAATTCAAGTTCAGATTATTTGTTATTATTATTAACTAGGATGACGATAGATTTTCGAGTATATATATAAAATGTTACATTTCGATCTAGTGATATAAAAAAAAAAAATGTTTTGCATAGTTTATGCCAACTATCACACAGTGTGATGGCATCCGGTTATCCATTCAAGTGGATGGTCAAAGGTTTGAACGCTTCTTTATGCTGAAAATGTTTGAGAAAGTATAGGACATAATACTACCTTGTAAAGAATCATAAGTATTTCAAAAAAAAATCAAAAATTTAAAATGATTTTAAAGGAGTAAAATTTAAACACTCCTTTAATTAAGGAGATAGTACTGATTCTAAGGCAAGCTAAGGTTGTTTAATTTCCACAGCCGCAATAATGGAAGAATATTAGAAATATATAGTGAAGAGGTAGGCTTCAGATGTGGATGGTAAACACATTCACCATTTTTTTAATTTTTTTTTTGTGCAAATGATTTGGAAAGTAAATTACATTAGGAAGAATCTGTTTGATAAATTTAAATAAAACAATATTGACAAAAAACTAAATTTGTGATATTCAAATACAAGATTTATGATTCACCTCTTTTGAACATTACCATGAGTACTTTAGTTTCTATTTCTGAAGTAGTTAAAAAAAAAATCATATTCCCACCCAACCACTTTAAAGATCTAAAAAAATACCCATTAGATCTCTTCCTAAGCTTAATTAATAACGGATTTATGGGATTCAAATATATATATATATATATATATATATATATATATATATATATAAAATCTTATACTGCTAATCTATAGTCTTAACAATTGAGAGGGTAGAAAAGAAATAATGATAGATGGATGGAAGAATCGTATAAATGCATGCAAATTAATTAATTAGCAAGGTAGGAAAGCAGCGCATGCAGAATCTTGAGTAGGGATGGCAACGGGGTGGGGCAGGGACGGGAAGTATACTCCCCGTCCCTATCCACGCGACCCCAACCCCGTTCCCGGTAGGGAATTGAAAAAAATTTTCTAACCCCATGAGAAATTTAGTGGGAACGAGGAATCCCCTTCACCGTTCAACCCATAATCAATGTGTGAAAGTAATACAATTTTAAAAAATAAAAAACAAAAAAAGTGAAATTCATAGTCAATATATTCTAATAATCTAATTAATCCAATATATACATATTCAATATTCACAGTGCATGCAATGTAATAAATATTCAATATATTCCAAATTTCAATTCATCCAATATATACACAGTGTTTGAATAGTTGAATAGTACTTATTGTGTTTTAAATTTTAATTTTAAAATATAATAAACTAATTAACTAAATAACTAATAATCTAATTCCTAATATAATATATAATATATATTTTTTAATTTTCAGGGACAAGGCGGGGCGGGGCGTCCCCGACGGGGAATTTAAAAAATTTTCTGTCTCCGTTCCTGGATTTTCGAAATTTTTCCCCATTTCCATCCCCACATCCCTACGGGGATGGGACACATTGTCATCCCTAATCTTGAAAGTATTATAGTGGTCTGAAAATTTTTATTGACTAACTACTTCTGTTGTGATCCGATCCATTTGAACAGAATCATATCATTCAAAACACGGAAGATTATTATAAATAAATATAATAATGTAACTACTTTTTGCAGATTAATTAACATATTTTCACTGAATTTATTACCTACGGAGTATTTCATTTCACACTTCCCTTTAGCTTCATTTCCACTACTCCTCTGATCTGATCTATATATAGGCCTCATGACTCACACCCTTCTTCATCACAAACAACACAACAACTCAGATCTCATCATATACATATATATCCTTCACATTAACACCAACATTTCTTGATAATATTAAACTTTCCCCAAAAAATTCTGCAGAAATATATAATGGCTTACTACACCAAAAAGGAGCTTAAAAACATTGGGCTCGAGGGCTTTGCTATCGTTGATGAATTCTATGGTGGCCGAAAGCGCGGCAGAAAGCAGCAGCAGCTGCCCAATTGCGGCGCCCATGCTCATCGTCCACTTCCTCCGCCACCGCCACCGCCGGCGGCGGCGGCGGCGGCGGTGGCCACTCCCTTTGTTTCTGGTAATTATCATTCCACAGATAGTAGCAGTGGCTACTCGCGAAGGGTTCAGTACCAGGGTTATAATTATCGTTATTCACCTTCTGAATCTCACGTCGGTTGGGCTCCGGTGGCTGCTGCCGTGACGGCGGAGACCACTACGGTGGTGGTCCGCCGTGGTTATGAAGCGGGTGACGCCGACATCCTTATGGATAAGTACAAGTACTAAATAACGTAAATCTTCTATGTTCACGTGAGAATAAATACTATATACTTAATACAATATAATATGCATGTATGGGTACTTAATGATTGGGTACGTTCAAGTTTCTTGTGGCCTGGTTTCTATTAGAATTGCCAGCCCAGCCTTGTAACAATCATTTACCACTTAATGTTTATTAATGTAGTAATTTTGCTTACTAAAGTCGATTTCTCCCTGAACACACTTTCTAGTAATCAACTTTGTTAAGTTCGAAATTATGGAATTTTCGACCACCTGAAAGTGATCTTATATCAAGCTGAAAGTAAAAAGTGGCTGGAAATAGCAAGAAAGGTTTTTCCAGATACTAAAAGTGGTCAGAACAAAGTTTCCGACTTGATTTAAGATAATTTTCAGGTGGTCGGAGATTGCATAATTTCCAACAGTGGTTGCCCCCTAAACACTACTGGAAATTCTGAAATTTCTGACCACCTGAAAGTAATCATAAATCAAGTTGAAAGTCTTGTTCCGACCACTTTTGGTATCTGGAAAAACCTTTGTTGCTATTTCCGACCACTTTTTGGTATCAACTTAATTTAAAATCATTTTCAGGTGGTCGGAAATTTTAAAATTTCCAGTAGTGAAAGTCCTTATTTTACACAATTTTATTGTCATCAAAATTTAAAAACATTGGGGCCGGGGCAACATAACCAAGCTAGTCAAGTTGTTCACTTGGTAATCACAATATTACAATTTCGACCCAGTAAAACTGACTTATTAACTTTCTTAATTTGAGCCGATCAATTTTTACTAGGGGTTTTCAAGTGCATACCCCTCAGGATACATGTCCAAAATTCATAACTATCCAACTCCGTCTAATTTTTAATAATGGTAATTCTTCATTTATTTGTTAATTATATTATAAAGGAAAAAAGAAAAGGAACGTAGTAAAATGACAATGATGGATTATTTCCAGTATGTAATTAAGTAGTGCTCTTGGAATGTACTGCTTTATTATATTCGTTCCTCCGTGGACCCTTGACCCGCAGTGGACCCTACTGGTTGGAAATGTTCGTACGTTGCAGCTTCTCAGTCATTTGTCTCTCACATCTTTATTCTGGTAGGTTTGGACGACTTGTCACTATTAAGATTATTGTTAGTTTGATTATATTCCAATTCCAAGATGTTTGGTCCCGATGATAAGTAAAAATTTATAACGGATTGAATAAGCTTTTTAATAAAATTTTGCTTTATTAAATATTTAATATAGAATACAAATTGATGAGTTTTTTACAAAGTTATGTTTGATCATCATTAACTCATGAGTAATATAATGTCTTTCAAAATTCCAGATATTCTGCAATTTCAAATCTATTGCAACTTTAGGTCTTTCGTAATTTGTTCTAGAATTTAACGTTATACCTTCTAGTAGCTTTATCAATGTTTAATAATTCGGGATTTGAAAGTAAAAATAAACAAATACATAAAAGGGGAAAAATTAATCATGCAAAAAGTTCACATAAAAAAGTGGCAAAATTTGAGTGCCTAATTTTTGTAGGGATGGAAAACATTTTTTTTTCAAAAAATATGTCATTTAATTTTTATTCATTTTTTTTTAGGGGAAAAATTACATTTTACTTAAAAAATATTTCTGAACAACACTTATTCAAAATTTAAAAAGAAAACTAATCCATGTATGTACAAACATTGGTTGCTAGTTCAATACTAGTAGTACTTGAAAGGGTAGAAAAAGAAGTAACAATAATGGAGTAGAAGAATCTTTAGTCTTCTTAGAAATCCAATTACCCCAAAGCACAAAGATTCTTAGGGACACTATATATATGTAAAAGAGTCAATACACATAATGTTCCCCAACCATTTCATAATTTCTAAATTAATTCTTAACTATTAATTTATTCAAAAACCATCTTTTAATTATATAAAATTTTACTTATTTTAGTTCTTGATATTTACACTAAGATTATATTAAATTGAGTAATTTTTGAGTAGATAAGGACTCATTTAGGGTGAATTGATAGTTCGAGAATTATGATTGTCAGCAGAGTCAAACACTTACCATTACATCTAAAAACTATATCAAATAGTGAAGGCCTAACTTCATTTCCTTATACTAACATAGCTAAGTCAGCCTTACATTGCAATAACGTAACAGGATGGTGGATTTGCCCTTTCAAAACGTTATCCAAAAATTATCCATATGAAAAGAATCATTTAACATACCCAACATCATTTTCATATATGAATCTATAACTTTTGCATGCAGATTAACAACTTCCATTCAATTTACATATTCCATTACACTTCCCTTAGCGTCCACTACATACTCCATCCCCTGGCCTATATATACACCCCATGCCTCATAGCCTTCTTCATCACCATCTAAAAAACAACTCAACATTCATTCATCATATATATATATATATATATATATATATATATATATATATATATATATATATATATATATATATACATTCAAAATTTCTGCAGAAATGGCTTATTACTACAGCAAGAAGGAGCTTACGAACATGGGGGTCGAGGGCTTTGCTCTCATCGATGAATTTTACGGCGGCGGAGGACGAAGGGGCAAAAAGCAGCTGCCGCCGCAGCCTAATTACGGCGCCCATGCTACATTCATGGTAACTTCTCGTCAACTTCCGCCGCCGCCGCCGCCGGCGGCGGCCCCCACTCCCGTTGTTGCTATCAATCACTATTGCACTGCTAGTAGCAGTGGCAACTCCCGGAGCTGGCGTCAACACGGCGGCTATAATAATTATCATCGTTATTCTCCTGCGGAATCCCGCGTCTGTTGGACTCCGGTGGTTGCCGTGACGACGGAGACCACTACGACGGTGGTCCACGGTGGTTATGACGCCCAGATGCTCATGGATGACTTCAAATACTAAATAATTTAACGTTAATGTTGTATGTTCCCAAGGGAACAAATATGTGTACTTGTAACAATCTTATCTATTTATACTTAACTGTATGTATGTGCTTTATATTTCTGTATAATTATTATGAATCAATAAAAAAGTTCCCTATGTTTTATTGTCAAATTGAATAGTTATCGCTACACTGTTTATTTTATGGAATAGGTCAGAAATGGAATACCTGATATCCAAATTTTAACATAAATTGATAAAATTTTGGAGCGTATTGAAATACGTTGGACTGTTCAAAATTCAAACAATTCAATTTTGTCTTAAACTCATAAAATTCTGTACTCTACTCTAAAATGATGTTAATAAAATATATACTACTCCCAATTAATTATTAGGTAACCTAGCTAAGAATTGAAGCTTTAGAACATGGCATATTATTCAATAGTCTTAGCTTCCCTAATACGTAGTTTTAATTTGGATAAAATTTTGTCCCCACCAAATTAGTTGGACAATTAGTTTGTAATCAAAAAGTTCTAAGATGATTCCTAATGAAAAAGTACTTTCGAATAACAGTTGCAGACTTTGTGCACTCAATTTGAAAGTCTTTTTAGAATTTATTATTTATATATATATATATATATATATATATATATATATATATATATATATATTAGTTTGGTTTAGTCTATTCTTGAGAAATGCACTCTAATAGAATTTAAAATTGGAATTATTTATAAAAATGTCATCTCATTTTTTCTTCTAAATTCAAATTCATTATTATATTATTTTTCCGAATGGATGACTATGTTTAGTTCATAATTCTCTCATGAGCGGTGGTTCTCACTTCAACGTCGTATACCCTATATAAACATATAACAGATAATAAATGTATTGTTAGTTTAATCATCAAATTGAGTAGGTAGAACGTTCTGCATTTAAACCAGTCATAAGTTGCAATGTTGAATATTGTAGTGATAAATTTTGCAGATCAGACAATGGAATCTTGGCTTTAATTCAGTTATTTTCCTCAGTTGTGACCATTATTTGCAGATTCTTATTGCTTAGCTTTATGCTTAAAGACGAAAGCCAGTAGAGATGACAATGATTTAAGGCTACCATCTATGGTCTGCAGGCTAGGGAATATGCTTTATTCCATCCTCCGATCCGTCGACGACCCTTGACCTAATCGAAGTCTTCCCTTCCTCGTCGGAAACCTTCTTTGTCTCTCGTATCTTTAATTAATTATTCCGGCATATATGGACTTATGACTTCTAAAGTTGTTTCATTCAATTGATTCGAAGCCCTAGGTGGTAATTAATAACATGTTTTTTTTTTTTTTTTGGGGGAATGTGGTTGAGTACGTGAAAGGGATTCATTCATCTAGCTTAATCAAACGTCAAGGGATCAATCATTGGCTTTGGGTATAGAGCAGTATGTGTTAAATTAAAACAACTAATATAAGGATTGCATCGTAACTATGACTTCCAGACATGTAAGAACCTTGCGGTGTGATATATATATAAATAAACTCACTCCTCACAATAACATAGTGAAATCTCTTTGACTAGCCACTGATCTAAATTCTCATAATTCTTTCCTTTCGAGTTCGTACATACAAATCTAGTTTTGTTCTTGAAATAATGTATAATTAAGTAATGTTCCTTCTGTTTGTCAAAGCATATAATTACCTAAACAAATTTGGTTCCTTATTTTGGTACCCCGGCCTAATATAAGTCCAAAACACCAACACCATAGTAACCTATTTCCATAAGCAAAATATATATATTCTTGAGGAACACAAAAGTAATGTTTTTGAAGATGGAATCGAATTATAAGTTGACGTCGTCGTCAACCTGCCACAACATGCATGCACTTATAAATTTTGCAGGTAATAATGGAAGCTTCGCTTCGGTTATTTTCCCTATTTTCAGATGCTTTATGCTTTAAGAAGAAAGCAGAGATGGCAAGTTGTGCTTTAATTATATTCCTCTTCTGACCCCTTCCTCGATACCAAATGTGAAATCTGTCTTCTAATTCGTAAATCAGCTTAGGTTGTTCATAATTTACTGTCTGAAACCAATAACGTCAGTAAATAAATAGATCTTATATTAAGTTAAACTTAAAATTTATAATTATCTAACTAACTGTCTGATAAATTCGATCTTCGCATAGCAGCAACTTCTGTGTCATTTGGCTCTAATATCTTTATTATATTCTGGTTTGGACTTATGACTTCTATATTAAAACTGTTTCAATTCATTGATTCCAAGACTTTTTAATGAACAATTTGGTGCAGATGAGATGTGTCTTGCTTAAGATGCTGCATGCACCACCTCAAGATTACATCACTGTGTTTATCGTCACCATTTGGGATTGATTGTGATCTTTAATTTAACTGTTAGCAGTAGTCACAACGCATTATGTTATAATAATTTAAACATATATTTTCTAATATAATTGTACATATTGGAATAAGTAGAGTGGGGCAGTAAATTTGATAACTACAAATTAAAGTTTAAGTATGACTCATTGTGAGAGTTGTTTATTTTTCTAAAAGGTTGAACCCCAACACTAAGGGCCCCCACACCCCGACCCAACCGAGCATTTGGGAGGAGCGAGTTGTTTATTAGTCTTTTTAGTTTAAGCCAGTCAGCTTGTGTAGCAAGTGCGCACCCTGGGACATGCTCTTATATCAATTATTAAGATAAAACGCTTATCACTGACAAACCTTAGTTAAAGCGCGTGTAACTATATGTCTTTATAATTACATAACATCCCGTGTCATGCGACATTTTAGTGATAAGATGCTGGAGTCAAGACTCAGCTCACTTGTAACATAATTTGTCATTATAAATTAATTTGTAAAATCCTATATCATATCGATGAGTGTAATTAGGTGAAGATTGTTGGTACCCTGCACACCAATAATGGAAGAATATTAGAAATGAAATGAAAATAAAAGGAAAATGCATGCTGCCGAAAGCACTGCACAACATACTGGGTAGACTTCCGATGTTGTCAACAAATCGGATTCACTATAGCTGGCTTCTTTGATTCCTGTTTCATTCGAATATGATGATAATGTGGGTTCAATGTATCCACCCCACTATTACTATATGCCCTAAACACACTACTTCCCAACTCTTTTTTCTTTTCTTCCTCCAACTATTATGTCTCATAATATAAGGTAAAGTGATTAGAAAATGATAATTTGTGTTTAAAAATGGTTGTTTCAGTAATTTTTGGCATTTAGAAAAACATTGATTCATACCAAGCGGCTTGTGGTCCACTGGTATCCGGTTGCTCCCTTATGTGTGAGGTTTAGGATCCGAGCTTAATAATATTGAAAAACTAATAAGGTTGATGAAAAATTCAGACAATTAATTTTTGACCACCTAAAAAGTGATATGACGATATCTTTTTCTATTCATTATAAGTTTTTGATGGAATTGGTCACACAGAGTCTTTCTAGATAGTGCTATTTACCTATGTGGTATTAAGTTTATTCAATATATACACACTCTTAAATAGTGGCTGTCAGATTTTTCACATCATCCAAAAAATAATAATAACATTATTCCTGGCATCTCCAACGTTCGATATACCTAATCCTTATCTGATCCAACTGAAAGAATTGAAGTAATCAAGAATATAATTCTTCAATAATTGGCCAATTTCACATTTGCCCTCCACCCTGAAATTAACCTCGTATAGTCCATTATATAAACACGTAATGCCGCTTAGGTTTTTTCATCAGAAACACACCAACTAACACAATCATTTCAAGAAAAAAAAAATAATAAAAATCTGCCCATTTTCCGAAGAAATAATGGCCGCTAATCGTTATTACAGCAAGAGGGAGCTTACAGAGATTGGAATGGAGGGCTTTGCTCTCATTGATGAATTCTACGGCGGTGGACGAAAGCGTAAAACCCTACCCAAACGCAATTATGTTTATTCTTCATACAAGGTAACTTATGTTCCATACCGTCCGCCGCCGCCGTCGGCGGCGCCGGCCACTTCCGTCATTGCTGTTAATCCTTTTACAGCCGGCAGCGGCGGCGGTGTTTCGGGAAAGGCTCAAAACTGTTGCAGTTACCGTTACCCACCGCCTCAATCTCTCGTCTGTTATGCTCCGGCGGTTGCCGCCACGCCGGAAACCGTTAGGGTGATCCGTGGTTACGATGAGAAAGGCAAAATTTCCGGCGGTGCGATATGATCCTTATGGATATATATACACAGTAATAAATTCTTAAATACTTGTATAATAATAATAATAATAATTATTATTATCGTACTATATATGTATTAAACAGTATATTTAGTAACATATGCACCATATAATGTAGCCATGCATGCAGGTTTATCGTGGCCTGGCTTGTAACAATGTTTATAGTTAATTACTAATATAAACTCGGACAATGTTATTTGTCACAGGAGTTGAACAGTATAGATATTAAAAAAAAAAAAAAAATCTATCTTGAGAACTTTTATGAATTGAAGAATTTTAGCTTATATATGGTTGTTATTCGTGATTTAATTTTTTTAATTTTTTTTTTTGAGTATTATTAACTTTATTATAAAAGCCTAAAAAGTCAATTTTTCTCTAGAGTTCAAACCTGTAATATATACATTGAACAATCTTTTATGGTGCATGCATATAATAGAGAAGATGCAAATTATATTAAAGGTGGGATACGCAGCCTAACCTAGCTAGTAGCTACCACCGTACCAGAAAATAGGAATAATTCGAACTAACTGTTTATTTTAAGGAAGAAACATGTCTAAAGTCTAAACTAATAGCACATATATCTAGAATTTAAAATTTGTCGCCATACGAGGAAAAAAAAAAACAAAATAAAATTATGGTATATGTCTCATATATTATCCGGATGTGAGAGATGTTGGAACGAAGCGAATGAAGCAGTGTTTTAAGGATTCACATATGATCTAACTAGGTTCGCCTGCAATACAATGTACTATAGGGTAGGATACCCTTGTAACCTTAAACATATGAACTGCTTTGCTCCTATAAACGTAGATACTTACACAATCAAACTATGTAAATCTTGTTTTGGTATTTTGTTTTTGTACTGTACTCAATGTTGAAAAAATCGCTAGGCTACTTACACAATCAAACTATGTAAATCTTATGTTGGTATTTTGTTTTTTAT